TTATTATTATTATTATTATTATTATTATTATTATTATTATTATTATTATTATTTTAATTAATTTTAATTTTAATTTATTTTAATTTAATTTTTAAATACTGTGTAGTGTGATTGTGATGTGGTGTTTGGGGCACTCTGCTGGAGTAGCTTTCAAATTTCATTGTATTCGTTGAATGCAATGACAATAAAGGTATTCTATTCTATTCTGTGTGTCTCACTTTTTTTGAGCTGGTGATAATATTCTTACTCCTTCTCTCCTTCCCCATCCTTTACTACAGAGAGAGATGTATGGGAAAGTCTTTGAAAAGAATGCAGATCGTCACAGTGACTTCTCTCGTCTGGCACGAGTCCTTACAGGCAATACCATTGCTCTGGTTCTGGGTGGTGGTGGAGCCAGGTAATATGCCCGAAAGAATTAGGAAATGTTTGCTTGGTATCAAGAGGGCCAGGAAAACTTTCAGGGTAACAATGTGTTAAGCCTGGATTCCCCAACGGGTGTTAAGGAAAACAAACTAAACAGAACGTGCAGCGAAGTCAGATAGGAAGACAGGTAAATGTGTGAGATAAGCTTTCTAGTTAACACGCAGTAAAAATACAGATACGCTTGTGCTACCAAAAATATAGTTTATTCCATTTAAGAATTATAGCATAGTCAAAATAAACGGTCCATTAGTCATGTATCAATTTCAGTCAAGTCTTGTCGGGGATACTCTATTTGCAAAGTCCGTGTTGAATAGCCAATGTCAGTTCACTTACAATAAATCAGTCCAATCTTTATCTTCTCTCCGTTGAGAAAAATCAACACTCCTTTTTCTCTCCCCGTTCCACCAAGAACGCAGTCATCAATCCATCCAGTAATTAGGGATCTTCAAGCCAGAGAGAGTGAGCTGCAATTGCCTCGCTTCTTATATAGTGCTTTTACAACCACACCCTTAATTATATTCTTGCTGTTAAAGTTACACACACTTTAACTAACAAACCATGATACCATATTTATTATTTTTACCCAAACCAGTTAGGGTAAACAATGTTATCAAAACTAGGGAATTTGCATCTCCCAAAGGCAATGTCAGATCCGTGTATCTGCCATTCTTCAATGGAAGAAGAAGGGGGGAGGAGTTGGTACAAGTAATCCTTTTTGATGTAACCTGAATATCTTAAGCCTTGTATTGAATCTGTATAACTTGCACATGATATATGACTGGAGCCAGATGCCTGGAACCTTGTCACCTCTTGGAGAGATAGCAAGAGGAGAAGAGACCATAAAAATTCCAGCTCTGAAAGGAACTGCCTGAGAAACTTTTCCAAGATACGTTCCCAGAAAAGGGGAGGGGGATTAACATGTTGTTTCTTTGGTTGGCTAAATCCACATCAGAATAAGGGGAGGGGTTCTAACCCTTTATCTGTCCCTGAATGCCTGAGGGTATCTTAGACTCTGCTTTGACTAGTATCTGGATTATTCCTTTCAAGAAAGAATTCCTTTTGAAGTACCTAGCTTTCAGAAGTTCATTCTTTTTGGTTGAAGGGAAAAAGTCTAGTGCTTACGGGCAAGAAGGATGTGACTTTTTCCCCACCATGGAATAATTCTTCTGGATCCCACTGTTCTCCCCATCTGGATTTTAGAGACGTCGGGAGGTCTATGCTCCTTAACATGGAAGCATACACATTTGACTAGCACTACTAGCCTACCAATGTTGACTACTACTATCACCTACTTTTTTAACCATTCCCACCTTTGGCTCCTCCCGAACGGTAGAGGCATGAAAGATTCAGCCTTGTTCTCATGACTTGGTGACAACCACCAAAGGTACATTGGGAGGCAGATTTGCTTCAAGCATGTTCCTTTCTCTTCCCCACAGGGGTTGTTCTCACATTGGAGTGATCAAAGCCATGGAGGAAGCTAGTCTCCCTATCGATCTGATTGGCGGCACCTCAATTGGCTCCTTCATAGGGGCTCTTTATGCAGAGGAGAGGAGTGCAGTGCGCACAAAGCAGCGGGCCAGAGAGTGGGCAAAGGTGAGCAAGTATTCAAGTCTAGAAGGAAAGTAGGCAGGGAAACAGCAGTGCTGAGAGAAACAGCAAAGAGAGAAGGTGTGCTATTGAAGCTATAGTCCTCTAAATACTTGAATGGGTTTATATCCCAGTGATCTCACCCAAACTTCCTTCTGAATAGATAAGGGTAGATTTGCACTGTTTCTTTACTACAATACACGAGCCCAACCTTTGGCAGCTGTGAGAAAAGGTTGTGAAGTTCTTTACAGCAATTTCAGTCTGGAGTATGGTGCATGGAAACTGAAACGTCACAGACTAGATAAAGGAAGTTAAGTGAGATGGCAGAGTAGCTGTCTTTATTATTATTATTTTGCCGGCTTAGCCTCCCTAAGTGTCAGAAAGCCATAGATAGTTTTAAAAGAGGGATTGTTTTATGCAGAAGTGTTTCAGTGGCTGAGGAATGCAGACAGTGTTATAAAATGCCATCTTATCATTTAGAGGTACAGAATTTTCAGCAGCTGTTTCCAGTCGGGGACGAAGTGAAATAGAGGTAATGTTGATGGGAGGCCTAATGCATCAATGCACAAAAAATCGCATTCCCCATGTTTCAGCTATTCACCACTAAATTACAGTGCAGCATCTCAGGATGCTCCATATCCAACAAAAAGGGATTGTTCAGAATGAAGCCATGAATTACCTGTTTTGGCTGAAGGATTCAGCATATATTGGAGTTTTGGAGCTCCTGCAGAAGAAATGCACCATGATCTCCAGACTTTTTAGGGTCAAGTCAATTTTTTACAGCTGAAGGAATATAGATAAGTAGTCCTTTTGCTTCAACATATTAATCCAACATAGGTTGAAATCAGTTTTTTTAAATAAGTGATTTAATTACAGGTATTCTAATGTATGCAGATACATCACATCCAGTACTCTCTAATCACCTCTCATTTCTGTTTTATTTTTATTACAATGAATGCCCCCCTTTCTTCTTTGGTGTGGTCCATATCGCATTTGTTCAGGCCACTTGGAAAGGAATTGCTTTCTCTCTAACCAAGATCGCTGTTTTTATTCTTCCCCTGGTTCCCAGAAAGATCATGATGCAGCAGTCTTGGATCTTTCATGGCTTGTTTCCTGCCTTATGCCCTCATTTATCCTTTCTACAGAGTATGAATTCAGTGTTTGCGACTGTGTTGGATCTCACCTACCCCATCACCTCCATGTTCTCTGGCTCTGCCTTCAACACCAGTATTCACAAGGTGTTCCAGGATAAACAGATTGAGGTATTCTTTTATCAGCAACACAAGAATGAGCTACAAAGTGCTGAAGGTCTTTTCCATCTAAGACCACTTGCTGCACAAAACCCATCATTCTGAAAGGTTTTCACCTAATACCATAGTAGGTGTTTCCAAAGCCTGGGATAAATAAAATGCCAGTGTTAATTTTGGTCCAGATTTTGGTCCTGTAGTGGCCAGAACACACATAAATTGGGCTGCTTGCACAATTTCTCTTTATTGATCGAATAAGTTGCAGTAAACTGCAGAATTTGGGTTAATAGATTTGCATATATTCAGGGTACAGTAAATGTAGAAATCTTTGTAACTTTTCTCTCTCTCACTTACTGTGACCTTCCATGTGATTTTCATTCTTTTCCACTTTGTCAACTGAAGGATCTGTGGCTCCCATATTTTAATGTGACAACAGACATCACAGCTTCTGCCATGCGTGTGCATAAAGATGGTAAGTGTATCTTTCCTCCAGCACAGCAGTCATGACTGATTAGTAATTCAACATGCATTTCATCTCCCGCTTTCTCCTGAACTTCAGGAGGAGCCAGGGAAGCCAGAAGGAAGTGAATTACAAAATATCAGAGGACAGGTGTGTGCACCAAGTGCTCCCAAGGCCACAAGAACTCCACCCACATCTATTTTGTGGCCTCTGATTTTTTTAAGGTTCAGAAAGTGCAGACAAAATGCCCAGATGCTAAACAGATTTATGCCTCTACCTGAACCCTGAAGTGTCCTCCCAAAACAATACTGGCACTTTTGTAGCTTCATGCTGAGGAGAGTTGTGTCAAGTAGTTTGCTGGGAATTGCCGTATGTTCATGTCTAGCAGTAATTTTCACTGTCTGAAATGAGTATTTCCATTTGGATAGATATTAAAACTCTCAAAAGATCTTGGCAGGGCTTGCTTGGGACAGCACATGTTTGAAGAACCCTTCATTAGAGGAAGGTCACCTTTTTTCCAGCAAGTTCAGGGAACATGATGCTATTGGGGAGGGAATAGGAATTTGCCTGAAGCCTACATATAGAGGTAGAATATAGTAGTGCTATTTGTCTATTAGTATGATCATTGGTGTAGCTTGAGAAGACCATTTCTATCTTCTCCTCCTCTAGAACTAAATAGGGATGGAGAACATTATGTGAGAAGATCTGTAGCTTGCTTGGGTGCATCATGATGTTAGCCTTAAGCCTAGTAGATTCCATTCTTTTGTTTAAAAGGCAAAATGGAGAGTGGAAAGAACTCCTACAATCTATGGCTTCTTTGAGCCACTTGCCATGTCTCTATGTAATAATCTTGGCTAGCTTTGAATCTGCTTTTCCTTGGTAACATTGCTACTGTTCACTAAACCTACTAACTGTTCCACATTTGTTCTGTTCCTTTTATTTATTGGAGCAGCCTGGCTACTGCATCAAATTTCCCAATTCTGCTCTTCTAGAGAAACTGGGGGTTGCTAGTTATTCAAACACTCTTTATTTTGGGAGGAGGGAGTGGGAAGAATTGTCGCCAGTAAAACCTAATGAAAGAGTGGAATTTGAAATCAGCTTCAGAGATGGATGGATTGTATGTGGAGGGAGGTGGGAGGTTTTTGTGGCACCCTTCTGGCCTCCCCTGGCTACAGCAAGCATCAGATCTCACCTGGGACATTGTTGGCAGCCATGCCTACCTTCAGGGCAGGGGCTGGAGAGGCTGTAACTGCCTGGCTCTTATCCTTCTCTGTCCACTTTCCTTCCCTTCCTAACAGAGCTAACACTTTCTCTTCTGTCTCCAGTAGGTAGGCAGAGTTGAGGTTGCCAAATTGTAAGGTGGGGGAAGGCCTATGCATGTAAGAAATCAGATCTTTCAGGTTAAAGTGGAGGAGCTTCAGTGCCAATGGTCTTCACCTGCAAGTGAGAGGTCCTTGAGATGAAACACAGAATGGCCTACCTTAGAAGAGCTGGGTTTCCATGGAGCAGTATTTAAGTGAGAAATAGTTCCTGGTGTCTTTCCCTTTGGGGACAAAAGTGCTTCTCTTCTCATACCTGGTGGTTGGATAGCAAGTTAGGTCAGGTAGGTGCAATTTTCAGTCTCTGGCAAGATTTGCTGGCTGCAACCTTCAAAAAAAATACTTACTTTCTTTTTTGCAAGTGAATTGTTGTGCTACTTGTGTTGTGTATAGTTCCCATTCCTTTCAATCAGCAGGATTTCTTAGGTTTGGCATTACTTTTTATCCAGGTACACCTCTATGACCATTTCATAGGCAGGGCAATCTGGCTTCCCTGTGATCAGAGAGTCCTGCCTCCTGTTTTGAAGTATGGCTTCTTATTCTTGATCGATTGTAGAACCATTTATCTGGAGCTGTTTTTCTATATTGTTCATGCTTGTGTTTCTGTTTTATATGCTTGTCCATAAGAAGGGATTTTCCTCATCCCCATAAAACTGGACTCCCTTGATTTGAGTCTTGTAGCACAGTGGTCCCCAACCTTTTTTGTACCAGGGACCAGTTTCAAGCACAAACACTTTTTCAAGGACCGGGGGGGGGGAAGGGGGGGGAGAAGAATCCGAGTTTGGTGGTTTGCTTGCAGACGTTTCATTACCTGACTAGGTAACATCCGATGTTGTTACCTAGTCGGGTAATAAAACATCTGCCAGCAAACCACCAAGTTCAGGGAGCGCCTCGGCCCTGCCTCCCTCAGCCCCATCCCTCAGGTGTCTCCCTCCCTCCCTCAGGTGTCTGCCTCGTTCCTCTCTCAGTCGCTCTCTCGCTGCTCCACCAGCCCAGGAAGAAACTGCTTCAAAGAAGCGGGGGGTGGTGGCTTTTCCTGTCGCCGCAGCTCCTCCGAAGCGCCCGTTTACCCCCACCCCCACCCCGCCCGCCCGAGCGCGGTTCAATCCACAGTGCTCCGTTCTGCCTGCCTGCCTGCCTTCTTCGTTTCGGAGCAGCTTTGGCTGATAAAAAGAGGCGAATAGTTATTATTCTCACCAGAAACAAAGAAGGCAGGCAGACAGGCAGAACGGAGCACTGTGGATTGAACTGCGCGCGGGCGGGCGGGGTGGGGGTGAACGGGCGCTTCGGAGGTGCTGTGGCGACAGGAAAAGCCACCACCCCCCCGGCTTCTTTGAAGCAGTTTCTTCCTGGGCTGGTGGAGCAGAGAGAGAGCGACTGAGAGAGGAACGAGGCGGGAGGAAACCGAAGCCGCTGAGCCAGACAGCAGGACAGGCTTTGGTTGCTTCCTCCCTCCCCTTCTCTCATTTGTGTCCTTGATCCCCAATCCCAGCAGCATTCACCGAAGGCGAAGAAAGCCGCCATTTTTTTTTTCTTTGCGGCCCGGTACAGAGTGCTCCACGGACTGGTACCGGTCCGCGGCCCGGTGGTTGAGGACCCCTGTTGTAGCAAGTTCTGGTCTTTGAGTGCCTCGGGCCAGTGGCTGGGAGCAGTAAGAGAGAAAAATGACTTGCCAAGGGCAAATTAATCCATGTGATGTCACAGGGGCCGGGAACTGTTGTCTACTCATGACTATGGAGTTGTCCATGACAACTACGGCTCTCATCAGTAAACATTATAAATGGTACATTCACCTACAGGAAGTGAAAGGAACATTAGTTGAAAGGAGAAAGCCAGAGCATTGTGAGAAGTGGGAATTTAAATTGGGCAAGAAGATGGTGCTAAGTTGTTGTTGAGGAACGCCTTCCAGAAATCCCCTTTTGTCCCAGGTACATTTTGTCTTTCTGAAGCTTCTCTCATGATGTCACTTCCTGTCCTGTGCTCCCTTCCTTTTCCTCCTCTCCCACCTTCCCTTTGATTGTATTTCCATCTTCATCTGGCAGGCAGCGTGTGGCACTACGTCCGGGCCAGTGCATCTTACACTCCCTATTTGCCTCCTCTCTGCGACCCCAAGGACAGTCACTTGCTTGTGGATGGCTGCTATGTTAACAATGTCCCAGGTCAGCATTGCATTTGCCTCACTACCTTGGCTGGTGGACATTGGGGATGCAGGTGGGTCAGAGGGATGGAGGCAGTCAATTGACATGGCTTCCTCCCTCTGAACCACTATCATCCTTCTTTTGCTAGGGCTGGGCATGACAAGCTTGGGGTAGCAAGCCTGGATTCTGCCCACGGCCACATTTTGCTCAGGCCAACAATGCTGCATGGCACAAGAAACTGGGTTGTCAGGTAGTACATGCAAAGCATTGCCTTGCATGGCTCCCAGGTAAATTTGGAAGTTTAGCGGGCTACCTGGCCACATGTGGGCTCAGGGTGATGAATCTGACGGCTGCATATTGCTTGGCTGCTTGATAAAGTGCTGTGCAGAATTTTCCTGCCTGAGCAGCTGGGCTGAAGCTGGGCTGCACCTCTCTCCATCCCTCTCTGAAGGGTTCATTGCTGCTCTGGGTGTCTCTCTGTTCTTCTGATTGCATTTGTTCCCACATGGTTAGGCTCACTGTGGCGGTATGTGCGAGCTAGCATGACCCTTTCCGGGTACCTACCGCCACTCTGTGACCCCAAGGACGGCAATTTACTGATGGATGGCGGCTACATCAACAACCTTCCAGGCAAGTATTGGGCAGTCTTGAAGAAAACAGGACAGCCATCTGCTGGAGGAGAAGGATGGCTTGTGAAGCCTGACTGGTCTGGGGCTGGCTTCCATTTTTCTACCCTGAAGCTCTCTTATCTTCTGCTGTAAATACCAAGCAAATATCCTGGTGAAGAGAGGGAGGGGTTGGCTTAAGGAGCCATTGAAATCCTAGTCTTCTATGAAGGTTCTGGTCGCTGCCAGCTTACCTTCTCAGATCTCATGCAAACTGTCTTTGTGTGCTGGCAGGAGCTGTTTGCTTCTCCAGGTGATAAAAATCCATAATGTTAAAGACACCTGTGGCAAAGGAGGGCAAGAGTTAGTAAGAAAGAATATATTGCACCTAGGATACTACAAGTGAAACCTGTTATCCTCTCAAGGAATGTAGGCTACATCTGTCTGGACTCCATTCCCTGCTGGTCTCTAACCTGGACTTGAAAATGTCCATATGGAGAAAAGACACTTCTAAGGCTATGTAGCAAGAGCCCATCTGGAGCTGTCTAGCCACAAAGAAGGGGATTCAAATGTCTATGCAGATTCTCAGTCATCCAGATTATGGTTGTCCCAAAGGTGCTTTTTTCAAGAGTCAATTGGACTTTCTGGATTTTCTTGTTTTGCTTCTCATCCAAGAAACTTCTTCAGCTCTGACTGGATGGTGGGGAATGGAAGGATTTATACTCCTTGCAGACAGCAGGTCATTTGCATTCTTTTAGAGAGTCGTTGAGGTCACCTGAGGTATGTGTGCTGTCAGGGTCACCTGCATGGTGCAAATGGGCCTGGAACTTCTTGGAACTGTTGAAAGGACTGTGTTGTACACTAGAGATAGGTGATGTTGTATCCCTCCCCTTCTGTTGAGAGTGGGCTGTTCAATTTTGACATAAATGGCATCTTTGACTCCTCTTTCAAACCAGCGGTCCTCTCTGTCCAAAATGTGGACTTTGCTGTCTTCAAAAGAGTGGATTTTGTCTTTTAAATGCAGATGAACTGCTGAATCTAGTCCTGATGGGTTTGTTCTCCTATGTTATGCCATGAAGTGGTTGTTTTGTGTCCCCAATATACAGATCTGCACACACTCACTATGGCCCGCTGGTTTGAACACCGTTCTTTCAAAAGTTCCAAGAAGACTCCACGTTTTGCTTCTCGTCCAAAAAGCTTCTTCAGCTCTGTCTGGATGATGGGGAATGAAAGGATTTATACTCCATACCCATTTGCACTACTCAGTGACCCTGACGACACAGATAAACCTCCAGGTGGCCTCAACAACTCTAAAAGAATGCAAATGACCAGCTGTCTGCAAGGAGTATAAATCTTTCTATTCCCCACCATCCAATTGGAGCTGAAGAAGAAAAACAAGGAAGTCCAGTTGCCTCTTGAAAAAAGACATCTTTGGAAGCATGTTCAAAGCTTCTCAGAATAGATTTTCACTGTGTTTGAAACACTGATAGCTTAAATAACAAATCTATATAAGAAAACTTAGATAAAATGCAATCCAAATTTTTAAAAAGCATGAGTAACCACCATCTACCACCATCACCACCACCATACTAAAGCCTAATTTTTTCACCTGAACTAGGAAAAAACAGCAAATGAAGAAATCATGAAAGCCAGAACCAAATCATGCATCTTGGAGAATGCATCTTCCATTTGGGACATCCTACTAGGAAAACCTGAATTGGAGTGAAGGGGTTGATTCAGTTGTATTGCCATGCAGTTTCCTTGATGCATGCTGTGGAAGTAGTAGTTGCCAGAGAGCAGGCTGAGATTGCCTTAATTTTAAGGATCAGATGTTCTGATTCCCATTGAAGGTACCACTGAGCTGTGCTTACAAGTACAGTGTCAGAAATATTTGGCCACCTATAATTTGGGCTGCTGCTCACTAGAGGGAGAAGTTCAAAAGAAGAAAAGATCTATAGAAGATATTTTGGCTCTCTTGATAGATTCCAGTACAAGGTCCAATGAGATTGGCATTGCTCACCAGACTGGGAGAGAGTTGTTCTCATCTCTCTTGTTATCATGCAACCAGATAAGATGTGGTTGATCAAAAATCTCCAATAGAGGCCATTAAACGGTGGGGTAAGAGATGAAAATTGCGCTAAGGCAGTAGTACTTGGAGTAAGGAAAACATTTTTAGGGTATCCTTCAGCACTATTTTTAAATGCTTACAAAACAAACTTAGGCTTAAATTGCAAGAATCTGAGATGTTGGGCTTTCATTGAGAGCCATCCCACACTGTGTGAGCAAGAGGGGATTAATATTGTTTATATTACTGCCCTGATGGAAATTTCTTTCCTCCCCCATGATTTGTTCTTGGCTGTAGATGGAAAACATCACACATCATATAAGCCACTGTATATTTCACCCCATTTATCTGAAATGGCATAGGGTCTTCTGCTTGAGCAGGGGGTTGACTAGAAGACCTCAAATATCCTTTTCAACTTTGTTATTCTGTATTCCCCCTGGGAATACAGAATTTGCATTTGGATATAGAGTAGACCTTCCCTCATGCCCCAGACTCCCTTCCCAAGTGTGATTACTTTTTATGAAATAAAGACCCTGGGAAACTCCTGCATGGTTCTTAGTTTGGTTCTGAATATTCACCAAACTATAATCCCCACATTTCCTCCCAAGGTTTTATTTCAGATGACTTTTTATGGAGCTTTGTCCCATTTTGCACAGCACTTGCCCTGCAAGTGGCAAGTATGTAAAATTCAGAATTCACAGTTTTAGATAACCAATCATAAACCCACTTTTTTCTTCCATGGAATTGTTTCTTAAGCATCCTAGTTATGTTATTTGTCATGTCTTTATATGTTAGCTTTGTTGCAGATTCTTCTTTTTCTGGTGTTTCTCTTAGGTTTAAATATGTGCTTTCTTGTTTCTGTACTTATGGGAACAAATAAACAAATGCATTCACTGAAATGTCCATGGAATATCAGTATATGCTAGTGTTTTTCTTTTTAATTTTGGCTTCCTTGAGCTAAGCTTACTTATTTCTTTGACAAGATTCTTCTAAAGTGACTTGCTTTCTAGATGTTCGCTTATTTTTGTAAATTTTTCTAAGTCTGTTTCACTCACCAATTTCTCAACACCATTCCTAGTTGGGCATTCCTAGTTTTTTTTTTTCCTGGAAAAGGCCCTCTGAGGCTATAATTTAACAAAACTGACCTGGCTTTACCAAATGTTTCTCATACTGCTTGGTTTTCTGAAAAATAATAGTTGTGTATTTGCCATATTGTCCATTCCAGCAAGCATGTTTTGTGTGGCTTTGAGCATGAAGCATTTTGTAAATTGACCATATTGTATATTCTTTGCTATATTTTTGTAACTGTACAAGTAGTATGAAGAGTATTAAACCTCTTCCTCTGCTTATCTGCTTGTTAACTCTGAAAATGCAAGGAGGCATTACTTCATATTTTTACCATTATCTTCCCCCCCTCCCTGTATATGGGATATTAATAAAAGGCCACTTAGTTCAGTTTTACTGAAGGTACTTGCACTTATACATTCCACAAGCCAAAGAGTATATGCCATTTTAAACCACATACAAGTTTCAGATGGGAAGCTACAGATAATAGAGGCTGGCTAAAAGAGCTGGTAAAACTATGGTATTTAATATACGGCAATTGAATGAGCAGTTAACTACCATAGCATTTTCCAACATGCTGTCCTCCAGGTATTTAGCATTTTAGCCCCAATTAAAGGCTATGTTGGCATGTTTGAAAGGCTCCACGTTAGAGAAAGCTAAAGCAGCAGGATTTCTCCCCCACGTTTCTGTTATTCTTTGGCTCTTAACAGCTTATAAAAATAAAGTGTAAGACTAGGAAAAGCTATCTATATAGTGCACAGTAATTTCTGTAAATGTTTGTCCACTACCAAAAACATAAGTCAGCTGCTTTATGTTGCTTTATTGAATGACACTAAATTATTCAAGTTGTCCTTCCTTCTATCTAGACCTTTTTCCAGAAATGAATACAAAGGGAAATGCTGTCCCTTCCAGGACCAGTTATAGCTAATTATGGGGTTGCTATTCCAAAGTTTTCAGCAGGGCAAAGACAGTATGTTTATGATGACAAACCCCTTTTCCCACAAAGGAGGCCCAATTGATTGATGTTTATTCAGAGAAAGGAAAACTGGTCAGAGGGAATTAGCTTCTATAACATTAAAGAATGCTCTCCCCAACTCTCTGATTTGGTGGTGGTTCTGGTGGTGGTGGTGATACATTCTCAGCTTTTGTCTCTTCACATTGCCTTTCCCCTGAAACATTTCCCTCTTTCTCCCCACTCAAATGTAGCTGACATTGCCCGTAACATGGGTGCCAAGACAGTCATTGCCATTGATGTGGGAAGCCAGGATGAGACTGACCTCTGCAACTATGGGGATAGTCTGTCAGGTTGGTGGTTGCTGTGGAAACGTCTCAACCCTTGGGCTGAGAAAGTCAAGGTGAGTCTCTCTCAGCCTTTAGCTTGTGGGTGGAAATTTCTGCTTGGATGTGTAAGTGATACCAGCTGGGTGAATTCTTTTCAAGGAATGGTTTCTGTTGCATTTTCTAAGCATTCAAGCAACAATGTTTCTCAATCTCTATTTTAATTTGCTGAGACCACTGTGTAAAATGTCACTGCATGTATACTAGAGATTTTGTGAGAGTAGTGCATGTGAAAATAAACCACCTTTGGCTTGTTCTGGCACATCTGCTTGGGTCTCTTGAATTAGAGCCAGTTATCTCTAATTTTGGGTCTTCCATTGGCATCTTTTGCATGGTGCTAGCTTATCTTATCTAATAAAGCTTACACAAAATCTCAAAGCCTTCCAGAAGCAAATTTTATATATAGGATGGCATTTAAGTGGATCAGATAACACTTTTCATTACATAATAATTATATTTATTAAATACCTTTTTTATGAACTAGAACTAGTTTTTATGAACTAGAATAATTATGTTCTAAAAATCTGCATAATTGTTAAACATATTAAATACTGCTCTTGATTCACAATACAGTGGTTTCCTGTAAAGGAGCATATCTTAATAGCACAGGATTGCAAAAAGCTGGTTACAGGCTTACCTGCTTTCTAAGTTTGTTCTGCAGATTCAAGCTCAGTCGCATTGGTAAATACTTCCAATATTCCTAGCAGTTCTGTATGACTGCTAAGATTCTCCAATTGTTTCCCAGAAACATCTTCTTACCATCCTGTCTTTCTTTCACTAGGATCATAATCATGTTAAAACCATAGCCAAGAGGCACAAATCCATCTTCTATGCCAGTTGTACCTATTTCTAGGTCCTGGTCATTTGTGCCTTACTCACCTCCCATTTGGACCACTGCAGTGCAATCTATGTGGGGCTATTTAGAAGGAGGGGTAGCTGATTAAGGAAGCTCTGAAGGGAATCTCCTCAGATATCTCTCTGTGGCCAATCCCACCTTGCCCTTTCAGGTACCTGACATGGCAGAAATCCAATCCCGCCTAGCCTACGTCTCTTGTGTGCGACAACTGGAGGTGGTGAAAAGCAGTTCGTATTGTGAGTACATTCGCCCTCCCATCGATCGCTTCAAAACCATGGACTTCGGAAAGTTCGATGAAATCTATGTGAGTTTGAAGGCCAGCTGCTGTTTCACAGTAATAAATCATGGGGTGGGGTGGGGTGTCTCATATTAGAAGACTCATCTTACTGAGTCACATAACCCAGAAAGACCAATCTCTTACCAACTATCAAAGAGAAAACAGCATGTTTAGCCTACTTTTTAAAACCTAAATCTCTCCCCAGCATATAGTACATTTCAAGAATGAACTGTCTTTCAAATCAGTCTCAAGATTTAATCTAAATCCTAGTGATTAGCAGTTACATTTTGCCAATCACTATAGGCAACTGAACAGAGCTGAGTGTTTACTGGCCAGATACCCTTCCTGTCATCAATGCAGAGTTATATTCAGCAGATATATTCTCAATGTGCCCAGAGAGAGAAATATCTGCCTCTACCTAGGATCGAACTCAAAGCCTCCTGATTGTGAGAGCTCCACCTCCAAGGCCACTGCACCACTCAGGCAATACATTCAGATACTCTGAAAATTTCCTCTAATCACTATACTTCTGCCTCCTAATTGGCTATGAGAGAAGCAGTCATACCCAGAAGAATTTTTAAATATTTCCTAGGTTGGAGGACTAAGTGTTAGATACAGGGATGGTTTCAGTGGTTTAACATGTCATACCTTTAACCTAGACCAGGGGTGTCAAACTGGATTTCTTTTTTTTTTTAATTAAAATTTTTATTTTATTTTTACAAACATTCCATCTTTCCTTTAAACAGTGTGTTGTCTGGGTACAAATATGTTGTGCAATAATATTTATCGTTAAACAATTTCCTTTTCATAATAATTACATTCTTATTTTAAACTACTATACATGATATGTCTGTCTGTCTGTCTGTCTGTCTGTCTGTCTGTCTGTCTGTCTGTCTCTCTCTCTCTCTCTCTCTCTCTCTCTCTCTCTCTCTCTCATTGGAATCTTTTCACTTTTCCAGTTTTGAGCAAATATATTCTAGCTACAGTTAATACATGAATGATTAAATATGTTGTTTCTTTGCTATAACTTCAGGTATCATCCCTAACAAAAATATGTTTTAAGTGTATATGTTGCTTTATCATCTTTTCCAAGCACGTATGTATTTTTGTCCAATATATCTTGGCTTCTACATATGTCCACCACATGTGGAATATGTTCTGAGTGTCTGATGGCATTTCCAACACTTAGCTGATTTATCTTTAAACATCTTTGCCAGTCTTGCTGGCAGAAGATGCCATCTGTAAAACATCTTATATAAGTTTTCTGGGCCTCAGGAAAGCCTCCTGGGAGCAAAAACAGCCTTCCAGGAGGCTTCCCTGAGGCCCAGAAGGCAAAAAAACAAATGGGGGGGGGGGGGCTGCACAAAAAGAAGAAACCATGCCCAACCAGTCACATGGCTATGCCCACCTAGCCACACCCACAGAACCAGTAGTAAAAATATTTGCATCCCATTCCTGGTCCCGTCTCTAATGGTTCCTCTAGTATAAAAACCAAGTCATCTGCGAATGCCTGTAGTTTATATTTTTCCTTATTTATTTCCATGCCCTTTATCTCCCTATCTTGTCTAATGTTTCTATTTATTACTTCTAATGTCAATACAAATAGCAATGGCCACAGGGGCATCCTTGTCTTGATCCCTTCTTAATATTAACCTTTTCAGTCATATCTCCATTTACCATCACTTTTGTGATTTGTTTATGATATGTCGCCTTAATCATCTTAATAAACCTCTCCCCAAAATCCATTTCTTTCAATTGCACTAGCATAAATTTCCAGTTCACGTTGTCAAATGCCTTCTGCGCATCTAAGAAGATCAACACCATTTGCTTTTCTGGATGTGCTTCCAAAGTGTTCAAAATTATTCTCATATTGTATTTTATTTGTCTCTTAGATTGTTTTGGACTGAATGTATAAATTGATTTAAGATTATCTTTAGTCTTTCTCCTATTATTGAAGCAAATATTTTATAATCCACATTCAATAAAGATATTGGTCTGTAGTTTTTTATCTGTAGTAAGTCCAAACCTTCTTTCAGTATGAGAGTGATGTATGCTTCCATCCATGAATGTGGTATTTTCACCTCTATCAATAGTTCATTGAATACTTCCAACATTATGTCACAAAAAGAATTCTGTAAGGTTTTATATAGTTCTGCTGGTAGTCCATCTGGACCTGGTATTTTGCCATTTTTGTCTTTTTATTAATTCCATCATCATTATCCTTTCTTCTAATGTTGTTTTAAATTTTCTGGTATTTTAGGTAGTTCTGCTTTTTCTAAGTACTGTTTCACTTTTCCTTCTGGAATTATCTCTTGATCATATAATTTTTCATAATATTTTTGAATTAATTTCTTTTTATCTTCATTTCTTTAATAAAGAGTTATTTGTCATCTATTAGTTGATTAATCCATTTCTTTTATTTCTCTTTTTTTCAATCTGTATGCCAGCCATCTTCCTGGCTTGTTTGCATTCTCAAAAAAGTTTTGCTTAGGTCTTTTAATTTTCTGTGCTAGTTCTTCTTTATTAAGTCTAATTTATGCTTTGTTAAATTCATTTGATTTTTTATGTTCTTTTTTGTAGGTTTTCATGTAACTCTTTCTCTTTAGTAATTTTTGTGTTTGTCTCTTTTTTTCTGTTTCTCTTCTCTGTATATGTTATAGTTAATCCGAGCGGTGGGATTCAAATTTTTTAACAACCGATTCTGTGGGTATGGCTTAGGTGGTGGGTGTGGCTTGGTGGTCATGTGCTGGGTGGACATGGCTTGATAGTCATGTTATTGGCTGGGCGTTGCCAACTCAATATCACTCACATCGAGGCATGCATCTCCTCGCCTGGCCTCTCATGACTGTGAGATGCTGCAACAGTTGTAAGTGTGAAAAATGGTCATAAGTCACTTTTTTCAGAGCCATTGTAACTTTGAATGGTCACTCCACACAAGCAAAGTACTAGCAAAGGAGGGGAAAAAACTCCAGAGTTGTTCCTGAGACAGGAAGTCTAATCTTGCCAAGAATGTAATAAGGGTTAACGGAGAGGCAGTTTCTGTAAGCAACATCAGAATGTTTCCTTCCTGCCTTCCTTATAGGATTAGGCCAGTAATTTCTTCTAACAACTGGTTCTCCGAACTGCTTAGAATGTTAACAACCAGTTTTAGCGAATAGATGCGAACCGGTAGAATCCCACCCCTGGTTAATCCTCTAATGTATGCCTTTGCTGTATCCCACATATTTTGTAGTGAGATTTCTTCTTTTCTATTTTCTTTGAAGAAAAAAATCCAATTCTTTTTCCATAAATTGAATAAATTCATTTTCTTTCAATATTGAATCATTCATTGTCCATCTTGACCTCTTTTTAGTCCTTTCCATATAACTTTTATTGGATTATGGTCTGCCCAAGTACTTGTTTCAATGTTTATTTATTGTATGTTAGCTATTATAAAATGTTCTTAGAATGTGTTTCTCTCCAAGCGTCCTGAATAGCTAACTCTTCTGCCATTTAAAAAAAGGTTTTGGGTAATGTTTTCCTGTTTTTTTGTTTATTTTTTTTAGTTTTATAGTCCAATTCCACCTCTTGCACTGAAGTCTCCTAAAATACATATATTTTCATATTTCAATTCTGTTATTTTCTTATAAAGTTTATCATAGAAATCCTCTTTATTATTTGGTGCATATATTGCCACTAAGAATATGTGTCTGTAATTCATCATTATCTCCACCATCAAAATCTTCCCCTCTTCATCCATAAAAATTTGTTTTGCATTTATTTTCTCTTCAATATAAAGTTCCACTCCTCTTTTGCTTTGATTTGGAAGGGAGCATATAGTTTCCTGATTTTAGGGTAGTCCAGTACTTTACTATGTTGTTTTTTAATATGCACTTCTTGTAAACAAATTATATCCAGTTTTAGTTTTTCTAATTTGTTGAAAGTCCTTTTCCTTTTTATTGCTGAGTTCAGTCTTTTTATGTTGATTGATATTAACTTTATTTCTTCCTCCATTGGTTTATTTATAATAATGTTTTGTTGCTCTTGTCACTCTTGTCTCTCTTGTTTTTTTTTTTTTTGGTTTTGTTCCTTCTCTTATTGCTCTTTCTTCTCGATCACTTTCCTCTTCTTTTTGTTGTCTGTATCTCTTCTCTGCAGTTTCCTCACGACGTCTGATTTCTTCTTCTCTAACTCTCTCTTCAAGTAAGGATCATAGAACTGCTCCACTTTTTCTATTGAATCTAATCTATGTCTTTGTTCCTGCCATGTCACGAATATTCCCTCTGGTAACAGCCATCTAAAACTCACCCCTTTTCTAATTAAACACTTTGTCAAAAACTGGTATTTCTTTCTCAAATCTCTGACTCTTCTTGGAATTTGTTATTCCTTTCCCTTTATATTTCAAAGGCTCATCTCTGGTCTCTGCAGGATTTATGTTTTTATGGCTTTTTAAATAAATCTCACATGTATCTCTCTAGGCAATTTGTTTCTCATCACATATCTAGTGTGTACTCTAAATATTTCATCAATATCAGCCAACATTTTTTCTTTAGTCACCTCCAAGGCCCCTGCCAACATATCTGCCATAATCTCCGCTATGTTTTCTCTTTTTCTTCTTCCATATTTTGGAATCTCAGATAACAATCTGCTCAATCCATTTCTAACAAAATTATTGTTTTTTATTTATTTTGGTCAGCCAGTCTATAATCAAGCTCTCCCACCCTTTTTTCTGTTAGGTCTACCCTCTCATCCACTTTTTGCATACCTTCTTCATTTTTCGCCATCATTTGTTGAATATTCTCTACTTTATCTACTTTCCCTATTTTCTCCTCTCCTCTCCCTATTTGTTCTTTCAAATCCTCATGGACCGTTTGTATCATCACTTTAATCTCTGCTTGCATCGAGCTGGCCTCTTGCTGTAATCTGTATCCAGGGTCCTCTGTCCAGCAGGACTAGAAGTAGCAGAGGAGGATGCTGAAGATGGTGCAGACGTTGTCTTCTTCATCTTGAAATATTTGTTTTTGTAATCTACCTTGGGTTGCATTTAT